AATGTTGGAGTGCGGTGGATGTCAGGGAAAAGCATGAGGAGCAGAGTGGCAGCTAGAATGCAAAATGAGTCCAGCAAAACCCTAAGAGAGATTCGAAGGTCAAAGAAGTTAAAGTTGAAGCTCATGACTGATGAAGAACGATTAATTTATAATCTCAGAAGAGTAGGTTCAATTGTTCCTAAATTATTTACACCCAAATGCGCAATCATCTCAGATTTTACTGTTTCCCGTCCTCCCTTTTTGCTCGTTAGAAAGAAATGCTTTTGCATTCTTTTTTCTTCCCCTTTTCGTGCATACAAAATACTTTTCCTATCTAGCTATGATAATCATAAAGAAAGAATCATTTTTCTTTAAAGTATATTGGTGAAATTCTTCATGTGTGCTGAAGTTTTGCCATAAATGTGCCATTTTGCTTCTTAGCAAATTGTGCTTTGCTGCTTGTGTGTTTGTAATTACTGAAGCTCGTGGTGATGATGCTGAGCAAAAATTTCTCTTGTGGATTCATCTAGTGGTGCATACGTATAATTAGACTAGCACAATAAGAGTCAATTGGTTAAACTCTTAAAGATATCAAGTTGAACAGACTTCCAAAGTCCACTTGAAATGATCTTATGTGTTTGTTGGTACTTACCAAACATTTTAAAAACTTTTCTCTGCGTGCCTTTCTACCATGCAGTGTTTCAACTTGTTACCATTCCATCAATCAGTATGTTCAAAAGTCAGACTCCTATTCTGTTTCTTATGTCTATATGGTTAGCGATTGGTGCACAACCATTTGTTTTGGCTGTTCTAAATAATGCAGCAAAGTGTGCCATCTTGCTTCTGTTGTCGTATTTTGAGTGTTTTGTTTTTTCACATATTGTTTCATTTGTCAAACTTTAGTTTGTTGCGGTCTTGTGCATATCTACTCAACGAAACCTTATTAATCCAACTCAACTTTCTCACTTCCTTCACTAGTGTAGGCAAAGAAAAAAGTGGCCTTGCTACTTCAGAAGTTGAAAAAATATGAGCTCCCAGATTTACCATCTCCGCGGCATGATCCTGAGCTTTTGACTCCTGAGCAACTGCAAGCGTATAAGAAGATTGGTTTCAGGAATAAAAATTATGTCCCTGTTGGTGTCCGTGGAGTCTTTGGAGGAGTTGTCCAAAATATGCACCTCCACTGGAAGTTTCATGAGACTGTGCAAGTTTGTTGTGATAACTTCCCCAAGGAAAAAATTAAGGAGATGTCTTCTATGCTAGCTCGACTAAGTGGTGGAATAGTGATTAACATACATAATGTGAAAACGATTATTATGTTTCGTGGCAGAAACTACCGGCAGCCAAAGAATTTGATACCTGTCAACACACTTACGAAAAGGAAGGTGAGCTACAAATCTCCTTTTATTTTCCTTGCCCATTGTGTGTCAATCCATTACTTATGTATGGGCCTTCTAGTAAGTTGTATTGATGAATTGGTATATGTTTCTTTTAACTCCTTAATTTTGTATTTGCTCGAGGGAACCTCAGTTCTATCTGTGTTTCATGCACGTATGATGTAAAACTTCAGGGAGCTATGTATCTTAAGCATCAATATTTGACATGTACTCCAGGTCCATCTGTTGTATTCAGTTTAACCGAAGTTCCAATTCTCTTGCATGTGGAAGTAGTACAATGGGTTGATCCATGTACAATGTCTCATCTATTGAAAATTTGTTGATCCATCTACTTTTGGGACGTAGTATTGAAAATTTGTTGATCCATCTGCTTTTGGGACGTAGTATTGAAAATTTGTTGATCCATGTGAATCGTGAACTCTTCCAATACCTATTGTATGTAATGAGCTGGATTTTCTGCAACTTGCCTAGGACTGAAAATTTGAACATGTTTGGTTGATGAGCACACACCTTCTGTTTGACAATGTTATTCTTGTTTTGTAGGCATTATTTAAAGCCCGATTCGAACAAGCACTAGATTCACAGAAATTAAACATAAAGAAAATAGAACAAGAGCTCCGGAGGAAGGGAATAAATCCTGATGATCCAGCTGCCAGAGCCAGCATCCAGCGAGTAGCATCCACATTCTTCAATGCCATTGATAAGAAAGAAGGAAGCCCATATGTTTTTCAGGAGGATTATGGTACTAAGTTGAGTCACAGCAGTAGCGTAGACGAAAAACATTCAACAGCTGAAGACAGTGACCAGGAGGAGCTTGACGATTTCATTGCTCAGATAGAAAAGGCAGCTGATGACGAATGGGCAGCTGAGGAAGAAGCAGAAAAAGAAGAATCGGGGAGGATTAGATATTGGAACAAAGAAGATATAGGTGGTCGATTCAGAAGATTTGGAAGTGATGAATCAGATGATGAGACAGGAGGAAGGTCAAGTGGCAGGAGTAAGACGTATGGAAGGAAGATGGGTGATGACGATGAACAAGATGATGTATCTGAAGATGACAGTGAATTGGATGATGATGATGGTCGATGTACCCACACGTACAATGCTCCTGTCAGGCATCCAAAGTATAAAACAGAGAAATGGCAGAAAGGTAAGAGCAATAGACCTATGAATGAGGGAGGTTCAAGAAGAAATTTTGATCCTTATTTGAAGGGAACGATGGCTTCAGATAGGTTAAGTGACCTTGAGGAAGCCATGTGGGCTTCAGACGATGAGGGTGGGCAGAACTCAACCCAACCAAGTGAGTATAGAAGTAGTAGTGATGAGGGGGAGGGTTATGATAAGATTGCAACATGGGAATCAGATGTAGAGGATGCACCTGGTTCGAGGGCATCAAGAGGGGTTGGTAATAGCTTTAGGACCAGCGGTCAAGGGCAAATGAGGAAAAATGAGGATACCCGCGAGAGCAAGAGAAAGGTGAAAAGCTCAAAAGACATGGATGAAACTTGGGACAGCGATTGACCAGGATGCCAAGGGATACAGGCATTGAGGCTGGTGTTATTTATGGTACTTGATCTATGCAAACTGATCAGGAAGAAAAGTATGGACTATCAAGTTTAGTGGTTATGGAAGTTTGTGATTTCTAGTTGAATGCTTTCTTCACATGGGCAAGGAATCAAGCTAGCTATTCTTCCTGTTTGCTGCTTTTGTGCACCTAAATTTCTTTATTTGTAGTTTTTCTTGTATCCACATTGTTTTAGGCAACAATTCCCTTCTCATAATGTTTGTCAAAGCAATTGTTGCTGCAGAAAGAGTAGTACATCGATAAATCTACAGTGGTAACGCTTGTATATTAACAGTGAACCAAATTTTGACTCGGGACTTCAATTAGTTTATAATGAATTTTTTTTATGCTTACTTTATATTATTAATTTTCTACCATGAAAAATAACTTTTTAATACGTGTACTATAATGCTATCAATTTTGTAGAGTTGTACTATAAAGTAGGGGTGTACAAGACTGAATCAAATCACAAATCGAGTCAAATAAAAAAAAACTCGACTAGTGGTTTGGTCTTTCTCTTTGGGCTTTCTGTAGCACAAGCTGGATCTTTTTTTTATCAATTCATAAATGGACATTGGTCCAAGTTAGATTAAAAAAAAAAAAATCCAACACAAATAATTTGATTTAATATTTGAAAAACTCGAACCAACCCGACTATGTGCACCCTACTATAAAGTTCAAATTGAACCGTAGTATACAAATATTGAATGGATGCTAATTTACATTATTTAATTATACTATTGTATAATAGATCAATAATATTAAAAGTCAATTACTCACCGAAAAAAAAACTAATTGTGGACTTTGAAACTCACAGTTATGATATTTTTCTATACCAACATAGAAAGTAAATGAATGGTAAAGTAGGACCATATTGATTAAAGAAAATAAAGTTTGGACCTTTATTAATGTTATTTTCTTTCCAATTAAATTACTAACTTGTTTAAACTCTTTTAAACTTATCCATCAAATAAATTAAAACTCAGGAATTTCATCCTTTATTTATGTCTTTATACGGGACATATTTTAATTTGGACGAGATTTATTAAAATATGATTTAAGGTGGGACAAGAGTAAATATGATCCCTTTTGAGAAAATATATATCGAGGATATTAGGGATGACAATAGGGCGGGCCAAATGCAGGGCGGGGATATATTTAAGGTTATGCGGGGTGGGAGGGATGTGGGATGGGTTAAACTGTTTTTTTTAAAAAAAAAAAACTAATGCAGGATGGGGTGGGTTGCGGATATATGTGTTTTTGTGCGGGTTCAAACTTAATTTTAATTTTTTACATATTATATCACTTATTAATAAAGTGATAGAACATTATTTATTAAGACAATTTCTTTAAAACTACTAAAATATTGAAGATAGTAAATAAAAATAGTTCAATAAAAAATAATACAATTTCTTACGCATTTTCCAGTTGACCTCCAAAAAACAAAATTTTAAGTCCTTATCTATTAAATTAATATAACTTAAAAAAATAAATTTGTTTTAATAATTTTATTTTTAGTATCAAACTTAACTAGAAAAAGAAAATATTAAACAAATTATGCAGTGTGGATGGAGCGGTTGAAAATAAAAAAAGGTATTATGCAGAGCAAATTAAAAAAATTGCGAGTCTCAATCCGCCCCATTGTCATCCCTAGAGGACATGAGTGCTTAATGTTAAGTAACATAACTCTTTAGACCTTTACAAGGATAAATATAATCTTAAAATTAGATAAAAATGTCAGACATAACTTATTTTGTGAGAGTATAGGAGTAAATATGACCATTTTCAATAAAATAATGCATTAAAATTCACTCATAACTAATTCATACTTTACTAATATCTCCGTAACTCTAACCAATTACCAAACGACCGAAAAAGGGAAATTATTATTAAACATATATAAACACACATATAATTCAGCAAATGCTAATAATAGTCAACGGGGCCTATATGTAGGGCCTACGTGGTTACCAAAAAGCACAGCTGACACTACACTTTCAAGAAAAAGGGAAACCAATAAAATCACTCTCAAACACATTATACACTTTTCCTTTTTCTCTCTCACACACACTCAATTCTCTCTGCAACAAACATAGAAAGCCAAAAAATTCCCAATTTGCACAGTGGAAAAGAAAAACAAAAACACTTGGTTGATTAGGTATGTTTTTAAGAGTGTGGGAGTGTTTGTTTGGTAGTTAATTAGTATTGTGAATGGAAAAAAAATAAATATCTTTTTGATCTAATCTTGATTTTCTCTTCAGCTTCTTTTACTCCCTTTTTTTGGGTTGGGAATTGCTATTTGACTCTATGAGCAAAGAAAGGCCACCAGAGCCACTGGATTTCTTTATTTGGACTGTTGAGGTATGGGGTTTCTTTCTTAATTTTTGATTTATTAGTATTCCAGATCTTGGGAGTAGCTATGATATTATGATTTTGTAATGAGGGTTTTCTTGATTATTGGATGTTGAATGTTATTTGATTTGTGTATATTGATGAGTTTTCTTGATAATCTGCTGATGAGGTAGGTGTCAGCAGTTAAAAGAAATGCACTGTTTATCAATTTTTGACCTTGCTGTTGAACTTTGTAGGCATATGATAAATTCTGCTAATGTGTATGCTGTCCGTACACCATGATTATCAAAAAGAACACTTATTGATTTGGAAAGCAAGTAAATAGGTTGTTCACTAAAAACACTAGCTCATCTGTCATAACATTGGTAAATAGAGTTAGTTGATACTTGTTGCTGGTGGGAGGTGACAAGTATCTCATGGAATAGTTGAGGTGCGCAAAAGCTGGCCCGGTCACTATAATCATCAAAAAAAATATAAAAAATATTGATTGTTCACTATAGGACTCTCTTAGTGAGTCCATTTATATGACCATGGCTTATTGACATTTCTATTTGTTGGAATTTGTTTTATAAAATCTTGGGTTTACACGTTTCGTGTAATTTTGCTCTGGATTCTTAAAATATGTGAGTTGTGGAAAATTTGAAGTAAGATATGCGGAGTTAGATATCCCATATAGTACATATTGCAGCTTTTTCAAAATGCAACGAACCACTTAAACAAAATATATAAATATAAAGATTACAATTGCAATTGCACTTGATGACTTGTCATGGTTTGAAAACAACCAATGATCACATTATTATGTACAATCTTAAATACTTCATCCTCTTTATAACAAACTAAACAATTATTCGAAAAGTCATCACCAATTCTTTATCTTCCTTCAGCAGTATGGTGGACCATTTGGAAGGAAAGGAACGCAAGGATTTCTGAAAACAGAATAGAATCTGTAGTCAATACCAAGTACAAATGTTTATCCCAATTGTTTTTTTGGTGTAACATGGAAATTATAGAGGCCATAATAGAATTTTTGAGTTCATTACACAATACGCAAAGTTGCCACCTTATGTAAATTCCTCACAACACCTTCTGGGTGCTGAACATTTCATGCATTATCTTTTACCAATCATAAAAAAATTTGCTTGTAAAATCATTTTGATGAACTTCACTGAAACTCTTCCAGTGTTGATTCTGAAAGGTACTCATTTGGCATATTGCTTTGCTCATTTATTGCAATTAACTCTTGTAGTTGTTGCCAAGAAACATTCTAATGTGGATAATATTTTTAAAATCTTGAATATTGCTGGAGGTTCTATTAAGCGTAAGGAGATGATCAAGCAAAAAACTAATGGAATTACTAGTGCTTGGTGAAGTGTATATGGGTCAAGAACTTGAACTTCAAAGACCAGGTGATATCCATTAGGGATCTCATTTTAAGACAATGCGTAACTTTCTTTCTTTATTGTCATGTACTTGGAATTCTTGCAACAAGGGTTCAATCTATCATGAGAAAGTAATGACAAAAGGTCTAGTAGAAAAATAAGATTATATGAATTTGTATATTTGATGTTGAAAGTGTTGACAATTACATATGATTTTAATATGCTTAAAAAAAAACCAAGATATTGCAAGTGTTATGAAGCTTGTTGATTTCACAAAGAGGCAATTGCAATCGAGAGGGATTCTAAATGGAATTCTCTCATTTTGTAAGCATGGAATTGTGATCTCAGAAATGGATGAGAAGTATGGTCTTGGAATTTAAAGCGTAAGAGCTCAAGTGTTACATATCCTCATCATTTGTGTGTAAAAGTTCTTTATGTTGTTATTGATTTGGAATTCTTAGAGCTCAACAACGCTTTTAATGAAGTGAATGTTAATGTGCTTTTTGGTATGCCTAGTTGAGCCCCAATTATTCTTTTGCTAATTATGATAATAACTAGATCATGAAATTTTTGAAGCTTGAAGATCTCAGTTTTGAGATTAACAACTATATTGATTATGTGCAAGAAGTGGATAATTCCTTTTCTAACTTTGAGATCTTTCAAGACATTGGTTGAAACATATATGCATACTTGTTTATTTGCTTGTTAAGTTTGATTTACATGTTGCTACTGCAACAACAGAGCTTTTTCTTCTAGGAAGTTTATTAAAAATGACTTGTGAAGCAGCTGGTGATGACTTTTTGAATGATTGTCCAGTTTATCATATAGAGAATGAAGTATGAAAGTGTACCTAATGAGGGGATCGTTAATTGTTTTCAAAACATGATAAGTGGTCGAGTGCAATTGTAATGTCTACATTCAGATATTGTGTTTATATGGTTCGTTACTATGATAACAAATTTCTTGTTACTAACTCATCAGAAAAACAATCTTCTTGTTATCAGATTCCGTTGCCTTCTGCATCACGATTACTAAGAACTAAGAAGTTCATCTGACAGTTGCACAAATACCGCACGGAGTTTCAAAATATAGGTTCCATTGGACTCAGTTAGTATTTCTTTCATATTTTTGAAAAACACTTACTTCTCAGGTGGCTACATCCTATATACCTCAGTAGGAGCTAGTTTATCAATTACATCCTTAATAATACAAGCACATGTAGTATCGTTGTTGCGCACTATTTCGTGACATAAAAGCCCATCTACTAATATGCATGGACTTCTTATCTTAAAAAATGCATAGAATAATCAGTTTAAGTGATGAAGATTACTTAGCTGGATAGTTTTACTGATTTTTTGCAATTTCGAGTCTTTCTCTAGATGTCTAATGATAGAATGAACAGGAGGATAGACAATACTTTTGGGTCTTTACTTCATAGTAGTATATGTAGTATCTCGTGTAGAATTAGAAGATTGCACTAGGACCCCTAGGAGGAGGTGGAGAACAGTTCAGCAAGTTAGAATGACTTTACATGTGTGATTGTGATCATCAAGAATGCTATCTTGTATAGATGCTGGTTAGCTTCCTGGCTAATATACACCAGAAAGTTTTTATTCTGATCATCAAGAATGCTATCATCTTGTAGATGCTGGTTAGCTGCCTGGCTAAGATACGGCAAGAGATGTAAACCTGCCCAATCTTTGCTACATATTAATCCTTCTTTAGTCTTCAGTAGATATGGAATACATTGAGATGCACACAAGAATATGTAGTCATTTTGGGTTGTGTGAGCTTCAACATAGCCAATGAGCAGGACTTGATAATGGTCTTATGAAATAGAAGATAGTCGTGACTTGTTGATTGGAGAAAATAGTTCTCTTTGGATCTTTTCTTGGGGATGATTTACAAAGTTATACTTTGTACTTCTAAAGAAATAGCTCATTGGACTTCAACATATAAGGTCGCTTTAATGGTACTTCTATCTTTTCTGGTAAAAATAGTCTAGAGTTTGGGGATAGCATGTAAGATGCTTTGTGATGCTCTTTTGCTAAAAGTTGATCTGTTAATTCTACTATCTTTCTTGAATAGCTCAGTTGTAGTGACTGAGATGTCATCATAATGGAATATCCTGTACATCTTTTCCAGCCAAAGCAATATAATATAATTGCTGTGTTTCATTTCGACACAATTTTATCATCTTTTTCATTATAATTGAGTTGTAATATTCTTCCAGTTTCTCCCTAGTTTTATAGCATATTGAAATATAAAAAATTAAATGCGCCTTCCACTTTTAGTCCATATACTTGTATTCTTTGTAAGGTCAACCATGAGTTACTGAAAAATTACATACATGCATCAGTCTACTTTGTGAATCGGTTTTCACATTTAAAATATCTATATGTGAAAAGAAACTAATATGTGTTATAAGATGGAATTTAAACTTGAAAGTATTACTTGGACTCTGGGCCTCAACTATTAGCCATCTGCAAAAGTTGAGGACTTTGCCCTTTTAGATGGTGGAGACATTAGTACATGAACATGGTGATGATTTTTTCTTTCTGTACTAACAAGAGCTACTTTAACGGCCAACTTTCCCTCTAAGGTTGGTACCTCGAAAAGTGATTTGCTGAACCACACGTCTCTGAATTTGAATTGTGAAAGTCATATTTGAGTATCATAACTAGAGAAAATTCTAGCCTTTTAACATATAAAATAAGTTTTAAGATTTTGCTTTTGGAGATACTTGTAAGTATGACCATTAGATTTTAAATGAGATTTAAGGCATTTAATGGATTATCTTCATTTCTTAGTGAGAAAATGAAGAGCATATAGAGCTAAAAGTGGAGTGTGTATAGCACTCGCCTCTGGAAATTGTAGCACTTTCTTTTTTGTTTGTGCACTCATTCCAGCTAACTATAAAGGGTTTAAGTTAATTCTAGTGGTTAAATTGACTAGTTCTATAGTATTTTTCAAACAATAAAGATACTCCTTCCATCCTACTTTATGTTACACCATAAGACTATGAAAGAAATTCAAAAGGTTAATTTGACTTGTACGTTGTATTAGAAGCAGTAGAAGAAAATATTGACATAGTTGTCGAAAAGTTAGTTGAGAAAATAACATATAAAAAATTAATTTGAACAGTTAAATGAACTAACATTTTTTTTTTTTTGGAGAACTATGAGAATTGTATGATATAATTTTACTTTTGTATCTCAAGTTGACCGTTCTTTCTATGTTGGATTGTTCCAATTTGTTTCCCCTTTCCTAAAATGAAAACTAATTCTAAAAATTGTTCCATTTTTTCAAAATATTAATTTGTCTGTACTTTTGAAATATAATGAAATCTGAGCTCTTACCTTAATAATTGCGACAAAAGTCGATGATAGTCCTAAATTTGGATGAAGGAATTTTAGTAGAATTGTTGAATGTATTTGGATGTCCTGAAATAGAAAGATTGCCGTATTAATTGGGATGGATAGAGTAATAGTTAAGCTCTGATGATCAAGAGCTGAGGATAACCATCTAAATTGCAATCATAAATTATCCCAAGGTCAGTTAATATTGGATAGAGGGAGTATAATGTATGTCATGACTTCCAAAATGGCAAGTCTTTTGGTGTAAAGCTTCATAAGAAATGTGAATTATACTGGGTGAAATGAACTTTAGGTGTCGTTATTTACCTCTCAGGTCATGGCATGGAAGTCATACAATCAGATTTATGCCCCCGAAGGCTAAAGAAATGTAGTTAGGACTTAGGGGTTAGTCAATCTTCCGAGGGGAGGTATAATGTTTATAAATATACCTTGTAAATAAAGGGGTGAGGTAGACATCGTGATTTACCTCTTAAGCATTGACATGAAGGCTTGTGATTTGTGGAAGCCTAAAGAGGTAGATAGGAGTTTGCCATTCTCGAAGGGGTTCTATACCTGACAATGCGATTGCCAAAGTTTCAAGCTTGTTTTGACCTACAGCCTACAGGTATCAAGTTTCTCATATATACCTTGCAGGTGATTGCAATGCAGAAGCCCTTATTTACCTTTTAAGTAGTGACAAAAAAATCATATGATCGAATTCAGGTATGAAAGAAACCTGGATAGGTTTATAGGAGTTTATCATTCTTCAAAGAGGACAGACGCATGATAGAATCTGGCTTGAATTCCATGAATTTGCTTTGAAATCCTTGAATGTGTGTGTACATATACAATCTCCACAATGTCTAATGAGCAGATTGTGCTACAATTGAAGTGATCACTCATTTGATAAAGGGGTTAGCATCAATGAATATCTAAAGAGATCCGTAGTAATTCATCCTTCTTTGAAGAGGAAGCACATGTGTAGGCTAGCATCAATTCCTAGAAGTGCCTGATTAATTATCTTCTTGAGAATTGAAACTGACTAAGTGACTATTTGAGTAGATACTCTCCTCGTTTTTCAAATCATTTTTAGCACAAGCTACACCGAGTATGCTTTAAGCTGGTGTGATTAGGGGTCATTTGGTAGCTGGTTAGGAGCTAAGTTATTCATGTATTAAATCCTGCATAAGTAATACCATGTTTGGTTTGTTATTTAGAAATCTGCATGTATAAGTTATGAAGGAATCTATATATTTAACCAAAACATGAATAACTAAACCTTGCATAAAATAATATATAGATTTCCTCATAACTAATCAATGTATTACTAATATTTGCATACCTGTAACCAGCTACCAAAGGACCCCAAGTACATGAAAAGAAGTGTTTTATTCCTACTGCAAGATTTGCACGCTTTCTTTTGTCCTCTTTCATGTATTCACATTTAGTTTTTTTCATCCACAACTTCATCAGACATGGAGCCAGATATTCACTTCACAATTGCTTTCCTGGGGCTTTAATCCACACTCATCAAGTTGATGAAGATCTTCCTTGCGCCTAATCCACCCCCAAATAAAATTATAAATTAAAAATAGTAGGAAATAGTAGAGTTCTTTCCCAGCTCTTTTCAGTGGTTTGGGGATGGCAATGACATGCTACACAGCAAGGAGATGTGTATCTTGTTCAACGAAATAAAAAAAATGAGAAGGAAATGTATCTTGTTCAATGCCGGATTTATGTTGCTAATTTTGCTGGCAGGATGTTGGTCTATGGTTGGAAGAAATAAATCTCGGTGGCTATCGTCAAATTTTCAAAGAGAATGGTGTTAATGGGGAGTACTTGGAGGGTATGTCTATGTTCACGACTGAACAGATACTAAGGTTTATAAGAAGGTGTCACATGAAATGGGGAGACTTCATAACACTGTGCAAGGAGCTCAGGAGGATAAAAGGTGCATCTAGTCCCCTACCCCTTCCATCTCTCTATCTCTTTATTAATTTTAACTGTTATCTGTCCTGTGCTTTTCCACTGTCTCAAGCATGACTTAGTTAATCAAAAAGACTTTGAGGATGTTGTAGACTCAGAGTGCTGTTACCAGTAACCATTGATAAGCAAAACATCAGTGAATCTTCTGTTGCTTTAAAGGATGACTATAATGTTAATGTATTTTTTGCTATACTTTAGTACACTTTCATTGATTCAACTCATTTCATGTAGTGGCTTGCTTGAAGGGAGAGCAAAAAGTTCGCCAACCTTGGTGGGCACCGTCATGTCTCTCTATAGTATTTACCAAGGTGGCCAAGCGTAACAGGCAGTCTAGAGTGGTTTCGCTGAAGCTGGAACCTTGACACTGATATTGCCCTTGTGTATGTATGTTTAAGTTGTATCTTAAGAGGACAGGGAGTAGGAAAATCACTTGCCTACGTATAATTTTTCGCTTTCTCTCCCCTGTCCAAGCATTTCTTATACATAGTTTTGTAGTCTGTCTTTGTTCTAAATTAGTTGTGATGAATATATACTTAAATGAAGCAAAGAGATACACTTATGTAAATCTCAACCTGCGCTATTCATATTGAAAAAAAAATTGCTACTCCAATACTTTGGTGCAGATTGGATGATGTTGTTATAGAAATTTGCTTATTTTGTAGTGAGACTGAATCCTAAAATCTGGTGTCCACTGTCCACCTTATGCCAAACAGTTCTAGATTTTCAAAAAACATCGAATCATCATTTTATTGTCGTAGCTTTGATGTATAAACAAAATTGATCTTTGTATTAAAATTGGTTATAATAACATTTTCTCATTATATAATCTCCGTATACAGTTTAACTAATAAAATGTTTGGTTTCTAATGTTCAATTCCATCTAATGTATTGAGCCTTTTGTATGTAATCTTACTTTGCATTTCTACAAGAGGTTATTTCACCGCTTGAATTCATGATCTTCTTGTCGCTTAGAACCAACTCTTATGGGATATTTTATTCGGGATAATATCTAAGAACATGTACAATTAATTACCATAACGTAACTCTTCTTAATCACATTCAACTCTACTATGCTTCTGACGTTTTCATTTTGTAAATGTGATATTAATTACATTCATTAACAATGTATGTTACCTTACCACTAATCTATAGTATTTAAATCGTCCTAAACATCACAGATTATTCATCCAAGTGCTAATTAGCTCTTCCCTCAGGTCACTTCAGCTCAAAACACACACGAGAGAAAGAGCCAAGGTAAGAAGCAATTCTCATCTTAATTTGTTGTTAATTCTACACAATTATATTTTCCATTCTTATATATATTTTTTTCAAATATGTGCTGTACCTGCCGCTTTCTGAATAGTACGAGTACTTACTAACGAGGCTGTGGTACTTACTGGTGCAGTGTTAGCCGCAACTACGAAGATGAGTAGCAGGTTGATTATTTTGTTTGTTGTGTGTGTTCTCGTGCAAGCGACATATGCAAGGAAGCTTCTTCAGTTTCCATCCATGGACATCCCCGGCATTGGCGGACTTGACAAAATTATGGGAGGTATTGTAGGCGGTGGTGGTGGAGGCGGAGGAGGAGGTGAGAATGGTGGATCTGGTGGAGGGATGGGAGGTGGCATTGGTATTGGATCAGGTAGCGATGGAGGTGGTGGAGGCGGAGGCGGAGGCGGTGGCGGTGGTGGTGGAGGAGGAGGAAGTGAGAATGGTGGATCTGGTTGGGGAATTGGAGGTGGCTATGGTAGAGGATCAGGCAGCGAAGGAGGCGGCAGTGGTGGTGGCGGCGGTGGAGGAGGAGGAGGTGCGGATGGTGGATCTGGTTGGGGAATTGGAGGTGGCTATGGTAGAGGATCAGGCAGCGAAGGAGGCGGCAGTGGTGGTGGTGGTGGCGGAGGAGGAGGAGGAAGTGCGGATGGTGGATCTGGCTGGGGAATAGGAGGTGGCTATGGTAATGGATCAGGTAGCAATGGAGGCAGCGGAGGTGGCGGTGGTGGCGGCGGAGGAGGAGGTGAAAATGGCGGTAGTGGTTTTGGTGTCGGAGCAGGTGAAGGCCATGGAGTTATGGCGGCAATTGATCCAGTTGAAGTTTAAAATACGCCTCTTTATACGGCTTTGGTGATCACATTAAACTATATTCTTTCATGAACCCCTTTTCACTAAATAAATAGCGATTCATAATTTTGTCAATTTTGAGCTTAAGAGTTGTTCTTAAAGTTATGTATGGAGTACTCTTCATTTGACATATGTACCTACAATATAATTAAATTCAATAAATGAAATTTAGAAAATTTAAAAAACACTCTATTTTAATTACGACATGTTACTCTATTTTAATTATAAAAAAAAAAGTTCCATTCTATCCATCCTTATTATATTTGAGCCTCATTTCTTCATCTTAACTTAACTCGCATAATTCATTCTTAATGGTGTCCTTCCATCAGTTCTTTAAAGTTTCAACCTTGTAATCATACCTCAAAATCCATTTTGATCCACCCATTTTAGCTAAGTAAAATTTGATGAAATTATTAACCTGCCTCTTTGGTGATTGAGCTTATTTTAGTTGTTTAAATCTAGTCAAAATCGTTTATTTGCCTATGGACAACTATACTTCCTTAAATATAAGTGGTTTAATATAAAATAAAGATGTATAAATATTTTGTATTGCTAATTAGAATAAGGTGTATATTTATGGATCATTTTTGAATTGTGCTATGAATCAACTCGGACTAGGAGAATATAGCTGGTCAAGTTAAACATTAGTTCATCAATAAATACAACTCTTACCATCGTAAAAGTTTCAGCCTTTCAATCATACTCCTCCCGACAACCACCTTGATTCACTCATTTTAGCCAAGTAAAACTTGGAGGGGTAGGGGTGGGGGTGGGGGGGAGTCATTAGCCCGTCTATTTGATAATTGAGCCTATCTGGATCAGTCTAAATTCAGCCAAAAACATTCATTAGCCTACTAACAATTATACTTTTCTAAATATAAGTGGTATAATCTAATTATACGCCTAGTAAAATTAAAAAAACAAAGCTCTTCATATTCTTCTTCAAAAAAAAAAGAAGGTAAAATGCAAAAAATAGAAGAAAAGCAAAAAGACCACCGGAGAAAAACGAGCACAGCAGCACCCTAACCGCTGCCATATTTTTCAAAAATCTGAAAGTCTCTTCAGATTCTGCTTTCAAGTTTCTAATCTCTTACTAAGTGAAGTCTTATATTTAGCTTTCGCCATTAAAGAAACTAGCAAGCATTAATACGCCATTCTTATACTCAAACCCCTTTAAACCCTACTTCTCATTCCCTTAACCAAAATGTTCTCTCCGGGAACAAAGAGATCAAATTTCAGTGCTCGTAAGAGTGGCCGTGAAAAACCTACTACTGGTTCACCGGTGACGCCGTTCACCGAGAATAGAAAGCCGCTTGATGATAATTCTCCTATACCTAATCGCCCTAATACTGGTACTCCTGCTCCCTGGGCTTCCCGTCTTTCTGTTCTCGCCAGGTAAGACACACACGCACTCAAATTCACTTCTTATATATTTTACATTGCGCATATGTTCACATAAATTGAACTAATGTTGATGTTTATCTCATTAGGAAGTTTGCGCTTCTAGTTTAGACTTTAGATGTACTCTGGATCGTGAAATGGTTATGTAATTATCCTGGTGGTACTATTGATTGCATTATGTAGTTCTATAGTTAGCTGAATGCTTTTGCTTGTTTTCATTTTTTACTTGGTTATTCTGTTTGTTTTTAGATAATGCAATTCTGCTCAGTTTTTCAATTTGACATGTTTATCTCACTAAATTAAAAGATTACAGTGTTTCAAATATTGCGTATTTATTTGTTTTGAGCTTTCTTACTAGGAAACAAATATGTGGTTGGACCTGCATATTTATTGTGAGGGTGGTTGTGGTTAGTTAATTGTTAATGAAAGGATATAAGTTGTAGAAGTATATTTGAATGGAAACTGATTAAGATAGTGTTTGTTGTTAATTGTCATAGAATCCCACCTGCGAAGAAGAGTGATAAAGGAGAAGAGACTGATCCAATTCAACCTGTCTATGTCGGAGAGTTCCCACAAGTCCTACGCGATGAACAGGACATTTTGCTTCAGAAATATGCTCCTGGTTAGTGAATGAGCTGATAACCTGTCTTGTTTGCTTTCACTTGTTGATCAGTACTGCTTTCAGAAAATAGTTTTTCTTAGTTGTGTCCCATTTTTCAATAATTAAGATAGAGTAATAAATTCCAATATTCCCCAGTGCTTTGAATGCCTGCTACCATGAAGTGTTATTCTTGAGTGATTGATTTTGAGATGACACTTTTGCTTTTGTTAAGGTAATGCGTCCATCTCTGGCGGAATGGATAAGGAAACTTCCTTGGCGTGGGTTATATGTGGCAACAAACTCTTTGTTTGGAGTTACTTATCACCTACAGCTTCTAGGAACTGCATTGTTCTTGATCTTCCTTCGATGATGTCTGAAAATGAAGATACTGGAAAATCTTCTAATGATTGGTTTGTTTGTCTCATCAATTGGGATAGGAATACCAATAAAGTTTCCCCACAGTGCAGTTCTGCTGGTATTGTTGCCTGTAATCGGAGAACTCGAAATCTCGTATACTGGCCAGATATCTACTCTGCAACTCAGAATGAACCAGTAGTAAGTTTTCCCGAGGAGTCTGAGGTGAGTTGTTCTTCTGATGTGAAAGGCACCCCAACCAAGTTGCGGCAGCAGAATAAACCTGGGAGCAGTGTTACTCATTCAAATTCTCTCAACTGTTTGATTGCTTGTGCCGTCCCTGAGGCTCATCACAATCATGCCTCTGTTGCTCTTGCTTGTAGTTCTAATGGCGAACTTTGGCAATTTGTCTGCAGCCCCAGTGGTATTCAGCGCAGAAAGATGTATGAGGACACGTTAAGTAAGAACTCTCAAGGAAATGATGGTGGGCAGTTCTTTGGAGGCAGGGGTTACCCTAGATCACTGGTTTGGCAGTCTCGTTCCCATTCTTTGGACAAGTCCAACAGGCAGTTTCTTTTATTGACAGATCATGAAATACAATGTTTTGCTATTGAACTTTCTCCCTCTTTCAATGTTTCTAAGATCTGGACTCATGAAATCGTTGGCACTGATGGTGATCTGGGTATCCAGAAGGATCTGGCAGGGCAGAAGCGTATTTGGCCTCTGGATTTGCAGATTGATAATGATGGCAAGGTTATTACTATTCTCATTGCAATTTTTTGCAAGGATCGGATCACCAGTTCAAGCTACACTGAGTATTCACTTCTAACCATGCAATATAAATCTGGAGTGAATGTCTCCTCAGAATGTTTGCAGCCACATGAAAGGATTTTAGAGAAAAAGGCTCCTATCCAAGTGATAATTCCTAAAGCTAGACTTGAGGATGAAGAGTTTTTATTCTCTATGAGATTGAAGGTTGGGGGTAAGCCAGCTGGTTCAGTGATCATACTTTCTGGTGATGGCACTGCAACTGTCTCACATTACTGGAGAAATTCTACCCGTCTTTATCAATTTGATCTTCCATATGATGCTGGAAGGGTTCTTGATGCATCAGTTTTCCCTTCCGATGATGGTGAGGATGGCGCTTGGGCTGTTCTAACTGAAAAAGCCGGAGTTTGGGCTATACCTGAGAGGGCAGTTTTACTTGGTGGAGTTGAACCACCGGAGAGAAGTTTGTCACGTAAAGGAAGCTCTAATGAGAGGTCCTCTCTGGAAGATAGGAAAAATTTATCTTTTGCAGGTAATATTGCTCCAAGAAGGGCGACTTCAGAAGCATGGGATGCTGGAGATAAACAAAGGCCTGGTCTAACTGGAATTGCACGTCGAAATGCTCAAGATGAAGAATCTGAAGCTTTACTAAATCAGCTTTTCCATGAGTTTCTTTTATCTGGGCATGCGGATGGTGCTTTCGATAAACTGAAGACGTCAGGGGCATTTGAAAGAGAGGGTGAAACAAATGTTTTTGCAAGGACAAGCAAATCAATTGTGGATACCCTTGCAAAACATTGGACAACCACCAGAGGTGCTGAGATTGTGACTTCGTCTGTCGTGTCCTCGCAACTTTTGGAGAAGCAGCAGAAGCATAAAAGATTCCTTCAATTCCTGGCTTTATCCAAGTGCCATGAAGAACTATGTTCTAGACAGAGTATGACCTCTTCACCATATTATATTTGCTTCTTCCTCTTAGGCCTCCAAGTGTGGTTGAACTAAGTGTATTTGGTAAGACGAAAGTAATTTTTATGGAAATATATACACACTGCTACACATATTAAGATAATATCCACTCTATTATTCTTACCCATTGTTAGTCCTTGGTTAAGTTCAACAGAAAAAAAAAATCATTTACAATCAAAAGATTAGTTAATGCTTCATGGCTCACAAAATACACGTTCAAAAGACTAGTCGAGAGGATTTAGAGGATAAAATCTGTATATATAGCAAAAGAAAACATTAAATGTAATGCACAAAGAAATGAAGGGTATAAATCAGTAGATTTATATTACCTCAAGTGCAGCAACATTTCTATGCCCAGTAGCTTCACCTGTAAATTGGATATTCAAAAATATGTATCAGCCTGTCCTGGCCTGCTCCGCGTATGGTCAAACCTGCCCCGTTGCCATCGGTACCCTTGGAGATCACAGGTACTGCTGAAGGCAAGTCAGACTAACTAGCTTCCAATATTCCTTGATTGGTCTAATTAGATGATCGATTACAGTCCTTACTATGATTAATAAGCAGTTATTGCCAGGATGCTATTTGCTTATCTTAAATCATTTTACTGCAACAGCATAAGTTAACGACTGCAAAAGCATATTGTCTACATGCTTTTCTGTGCTCCTTATATGCTAATGCATTTTTTTCTCTTAGAAACCATGGGCCTAAGAGTTTTACAATCTGTGACAGGGCATGCTTTGCATATTATCATGGAACATGGTGAAAAACTTGCTGGCATGATCCAATTGAGAGAGTTGCAGAACGTGCTCAATCAGAACCGTGCCTCAGGAGCTGGCTCTTATTCAACTACTGAGATGTCGGTTTCTGGTTCCCTGTGGGATGTCATCCA